CAGGTACAGTATATTATATGTGATGATGATTTATATCTGTGCTGAGAAATAAATCTGTAAAGAACTTCCAAGAGACAACCGACAGGAGGGCTGTTTTTTTTATTGAGAGATTTTATAGAGGCATTCTAGTCTGCCAAAGAAATACAGCTGCTTGTAAAGTCCACATTTTGATGATGGGTTAAACTAAACAATGCTTAACCTTATGTTTGAGGGCCTCTGCTGTTTTCTGCAGCCTTATTTCTCCCTCCTGTTGTGTTGTAGCCTCCTGGGACGTATTTTAGCTAGGAGCTGATAGAAGCTTTCCATTGGATCCTGGTCTTAAATTTCAAAGTTGTCCTCTGATTTTTCTGCAGTTCATGCCCAGGCTGAAGAGTGAAAGTGTACAGTCCCCCCATATCATAGCTTCCTCTGTCTTCTTCCATCTCTTCACTTTCTCCCCCTGCCCCCTGCTGCCCCCCAACCTTACCATGAGACTAGCAGCTCTGCAGGAAGAGGTGCTAGGGAGACCTTGGGATTTTCCAGTCTCCCAGTGCTCCCTAGAGCAAACCTCAGTAGTGCCTAAAATTTGCAACAAGTGTTTACCAAGATTTATTTCAGAGCTTTATAGGATCCCATGACTCCAGCCTGAAGGGCATCTTTCACTTAATGGCAGATAGTCCTCCGAAATATTCCCTCCACACAAAATGGTTTGTTTCTGAGGAAAGAAATACTCTCTTGTTTTCAAGTAGTCTTGCTTCTAAAACTGGTTTATCATTCTTTTTGACTGGATTCTTGTTCTCACCACGACCCTGTTTATCTTGAGAGTGCAATAATATACATGAGGTTTGAGGGTGGAATTGGCAGGGAAGACAAAGAGTTACTGGAGTATCCTTACAATCTCCAGTACAGCCATGGCTTTATTGCGTCTGGCTTGGATTAAAAATAAAATGAATCTGATGTTTACTAGTCTCTAGGGGCATTTGTTTGGCTTTACGGACTCATTGTGAGTCTGTGTTATCAGTAGTCTAGTCTCAGGGGAGGTCCAGGGCTGGGCTGGCAGGAGGTCCTGTGGACCAGGGTTGGAGAAGATTGTAAGTGTAGAACTGGCACTGACAAGTTTGCTGCAGATGGGTGCTGAATTGCAGTAGTGTTGGGAGAACAGGCTGGGATAGCAGGGACCCTGGAAGGTCAGGATTAAAGCATAACAGCAATAACGTGAGCATCTTCCCCTGGGATAGCAGGAGACGGTGCAGTGAAAGAAGGGTTTTGAAGCTCCAGATCTGCTTGAGGAGTGAAGATCCATGCTGCGCTGTGCTAGCAGAGACATGCTTATGAAAAAAGCTTGCAGAGCCCTGCCTTTAGTATACCTGGTTCTGGTTGCTGCGGTGAACGCATCCATTCCAAGGACGGTAACAAATCACTGTACTGGCCATGAACGTAACAAGCAAGCAAACAAACAAGCTAAGGAGAGTCTGGCTGTGCATGCACAGAAAAGCTACAAAATCCAGCTATTCACCTAAGGCATTGTCTCCGCTTTCTTTCTTAAGGGATTCCATCCCCCCTGCCCCCACCCTTTGCACTCTAACGCTATATTTGTGCCTTGGAGATGTGGAGATGCGCGTATGATGGATGGATGGATGCTGCTTGTCTGGGTTTTTCACCACCATTTCCCCTGGGGCACTCTGTCTGCTGGCAGAGAGCACCATCCCAAAAGATGGTATCTTTTGCAAACTCGACAGCTAACAGACAGCTTCTCTCTCTGCATATTTCCCCAAAGAAGAGCAGGCTTAATCTGGTTTTTATATGGCATATTTCATTATAATCTTTTTGACTTCCCATGTTCCCAATACGCCATCATAAATAAAACGCTGGGGGTGGGAACAGCAGAGATGCTGAGGCTTCACACTCTTGTGACACTGATAGATTCTCATTTTAAACTGTCATGGGATTTAATTGCTTGCTGAGCCACTGCACTGCACTTTCAGACACATCCTGCCACATCCTCTTAATGAGCTTAGTGGCTGCATTCGCTCAGCAGTAGTTCTGTTTGCTGTGAATCAGGTGGCTTTTTTAGACCACCTATATGATTTTAAAGAGGTAGTGGTTGTTAAGGTAATATCCTTGGATTTATCCATCTTAAACAGCACTTCATGGACTCTTAATATATAGTTTCCTCTGGCACTTTTTATGTTCCAAAAAACCAGCACCAAGAAACAAAAACGCAAGAATCTATGTGCAAAGTCAGTGTTTGTCTAAGAGGGTTTTTGGAAGCCGGATTGCTTTGGTTTGCATAGTAGCTGTCTCTGGCGTGATAGATCATGCTGGAACTCACCCAATAAGTATCTCTGTTCCCAATTAGAACTGGAAATGGAGCTGCTTACGAGTGCACAGAGATGATGGCTTGGGTGGCAGCTGCTACTGTGGAGATGGAAATGATCCATTGTAAAACAAATACATTGCACTGTATAGAAAAAGGGATGGTTGTTTTTAATTTATGTTTCAAAGAGACACAGAAAAGTTGCTTAGCTCCCAATGCACTGTAAACCAAACGTAGCATATTTAAAGACAGGAATTTGCAGCTATTTTGGTGAATCAAAACTTGAAAAAGCCCACCATTTTGTGGGATTTGTGAAAATGTGCTTCTTTTGGAGGCAGCAGTTCAATAGAAAACAGATATAGGAATGACGCTGGCACGGGTGCTTGTTCAGATTCTACCACCGCAGTCTGAGGACCTTGGTAAATAGAGAGGTTGCTGCACTGAGCTGGTAAGCAGAAATAACCATGCTAATTTAATCACTATGAAAGGGACTCTGCCAAGTTAAGAAACATAAATTTTAATTATTTGCACACACACATATTTGAATTATAATATATGCACAATATTTAGTTGTGACACCAATAATACTGTGGTTTATTAAAACAGGAAGAATTCTCAAATAACTTTTTATTTTTCATTGATGATTTTTGTTGATTTGACACTTCCATTTTGTCTGGTTCTGACTATCTCCTACACTAACCAGGTGCTATTGCATTTGCAATACTAATCAAAAGGAAATCTATCTACAAACCTTTTTAGAATTTTTATATAAAAGAGTAAGCTTTTAGTTATAGTGCTTTTACTAGTAGTTATTACTTGTAATAAAGATTATGTTCTCTGAAATTGCAATGTCTGAAGAAGAGCTTGTGATACAAACTAGGAGCTACAATAAAAAGAATTTAGAACAATTAGTGGGTAGCAAATGTTATTACCTATATTTAAAAAGGATTCAGATGTGATTCAAGAATTTAAAGACCCATAAATTCTACATGAACATTTGAGAAATTGATTGAAACAGTAATTAGGTATAAACAGTAAAGCACCTGGGAGACGATGATATAAGAGGTTCTAACTGACTTTTTTTTTTTTTTTTTGACCAAGGAAAAGCACGTCTCATTACTTTCTTAAAAATCTTTACATGATATATAAAGGACTAATAGATAAGGGGGTTGACAATTTACTTAGACTTTCTGAAGACCTTTGGTATGTAATAGGCCTCCAAAGAGAAACAAAGCATTGTCTTGGATCAAAATGTTTAGAACAAAAGCTGAAACAAAGAACAAAATGAAACAAAGAACTTTCATTATAGGAAAAGGCTAACGGCTGGTGCATCAAGGTTTGGTGTTTGGTCCAGTGTTGTGTGATATAGTAATGAACAAGTTGGAGGGAGGGAGTACCTTGTAAACTACAAAGATTTGCACATAGTACAAAGTTATTTAGAGCCATCGTGGCCAGGGAGGTCTCTGCAGGCCTCCTTGGGGAAATCTGAATGTGCTTGGTGAATGGGTGGCGGGATGGACATTTTAATTTGTCACTGTATGTTGAAAGAATTACTTACAGGAAGTTCTTGTCCCTGTTACAAGGTTCCTAATTCTGCTTAGTATGCAGCTTGGACACTGCAGGACACTGCCTGCGGGGAAAATATAAAGAATATTGTAATGCATTTGTTTAAATGGGGGATGTGGCTTCATATGAAAATATCAGATCCAGTATTGGTCCATCTTGGGAAGATTATTAAATCTTCTTAAAGAGGAAGTTTAGAGAGGTCTGACAGGACAAAGCCGTATGGAAAACTTCCCACAGCAGAGTAATAGAAAAAATTGTGACTGGTTATCCTCGAAAGGAGAGGAATAAAAATAAATGACAAAAAAGTTTGGAACTTCTATTTTCCCCATCTCATAGCAAGAACAAGGGGACAAGCAATGAAGTGAAGCACTCCTTCTTTCAAACCGTAGTTTAACTGTTGAACTCACTCAGGTGGGAAAACATCGAGGGCGAAAGTGTATCAGAATTCAAAGGGCTGGGCTATTCTGTGCATTTCCAGAAAAGCCAGATTTAGGATAACTCGAAGTGATACTGCATTTATCCCTCAGGACTGACCTGTTAGAGATCAGAGTGAAATGTGGTATTAGGGTAGATTATTTTCTTTGCATTTCTCTCCTGACAGACACTCGTACCTTCTTCTACAGCATCTGACGTGACTGCACAGTATAGCACAACAAGTATCAAAGCAGACAGAGGCAAGTGTGGGGTCACGGCTTAATTTCTCAAGCCTAGAAGACTCAAGGCTTTCTCAAGCCTTGTTTGAAGCTTCTGACGTTGGCTGGTGCCTTCATAAGCAGGACAGTGGGTGGAACGGACCCCGCCTTGCTTCTCTAAGCAGTTCCTGTGGTCTGGGGCAAGCCTTGGTCTTTCAGATGAAAACTACATTTCAGGCATTAAGTTGGCTTTTCAGTTTTCTTTAGGGTACAAGCACAAGAGAAAAATATACTTTTCTAGCTTTTGTGGGAAAATCCTGGAGAGTTAAATAGGAGAGAGAAAATTAGGGATTTAGTGAAATTAATTTAATGATCCCTAGTAACGTTTAACTATTTCTCTAGGTTAACTGAACCATTGTTTAGATTTTTGGAGACTTTTATCTCTGAGGATTCAAAAAGTGGCTTGGAAACATAATTTCCTGTCTTCATTACTGTATCCTTTACAGACTAACCATCTTCCAGGAAGGACTGAATTAATTACAAAAATTGAATTCATTACTAAGAGGTGGTCTTTGGACCTTTGTAGGTTTTTATACTGTAAGCTTTACATTCCAGAAAAGACAGCGTCTGCCATTTCGCACTTTCTAGAGCTACTTAGGAATGAAAATGGACTCCTAGAAGCTACCAGTGGAGAAGAAAATGAAGGAGTTGAATAGCAGTAAGCTTAGCGGGCAGATGGGAGGCAGCTGCCCTGAGTTTCTTTTCACCGGATTTCCTGCTCGCTAACTTAACTTCTTGGTGACTCAATCTCCCCATCAGTAAACTGGGAATAAAAGTATTACCTCACACCGCTTTGTCAGTGGGATGTTAAATTTAATAATTAAAAAATGCTCTGAGAGTTTTGGATGAAAAGTCTCCTGGAGTGTTGCTGGTGGGAAGTAGCAGCACCACACAAAACAAACATGTCTATTAAAGACAGCTGCTGGTTTTTGACCTTAAAGACTACCTTTCCCTCTGACTTAATGTTCAATATCTCTGGAACAAACAGGAAGTAGTTTTACTTTCATATACCTTTTACTTATCCCTCACCCCTTCCGTGCTCATTCCCTTTTTCTAATGCATTCGTTTGCTGAATGTATCGGTATCCAGACACAGGCATAGCTTGTCACAGTGAAGACATGTTTGTTTCCGATGCCCTTGAGCTTGCTTGAAGCTTCTTCTCTTGCTGAATGTATGATGACCCCTTGGGTTTTGCAGTCCCACAAGGTTCTAAATACAAAGCAAATGCCCTTTTGCACCTAAGCGCAGGACTTTGAAACCAAGCCAAGCCCACAGCCAGAGATGATTATGGAGGTTCCTTAGTGACTTTAGATTCAAGTGTTGGGATTTGCACATAAATCAAGTCTAAAATCCCTTCTTTCTATTGAAATGTCTGGATTTAGCATCTAAAGGGAGGTAGTAGGAGTTCATACAGGGAAATTCAATCTGTATGATCCTCTGTTGACTTCTCTGTCTTTTTTATAGGTCAAGTAAGGGAGAAATTGGGGAAGGTGGCATAATGGGTGTGTGTGCAGAGCTTAATGCCAAGAAGAGAGGCCTGATTGAATAGACCTCCTTGTGATGAGAAGGGGGATCAATTCACTGTTGACCCCATCCCATTGTGTGCGTTGTCCTGGGAGTTTCCTTTGAAAATCCCAGTGGTTTGGGTTTTCTGCATGGTTTGTACACAGCCTTTCCCTCCATGAATAGAATAGCTTTTGCTGGAATTTTTGCTGGATTTTCTGTGGTTATTGGCTAAGCAATGCTCTCTCTGTTCAGAAGACTTGAGCAAGCATGTTGTGGAAGCATTGATCAGGGACCCTGAATCATTTGCTGGCTTAGAGTTTTTCATATATAGAACAAACATATTCCTGGGATGCAATTGCCCCCAAGAAACAGATTATACTTTACTGTCCCAGGTGGAAGTGTTCGTTCATTATTTGGATTGCAGGAGTGATTTGGGGCTTTATAAACACATGAATTTCTGCCCTGCAGAGTTTACAACTCATGGTGATAGAAAGGCAGGGAGCTTCAGGCAGACTGGGGAACACAACACAGTCCTAAAAGATGCGAAGTGGACAGAGCTATGAAATAAGGACACCAGATGCTGATTTGTGAGTGCCGGTCCTGTACATTATTGCTTTATAAATCTGTTGGCCTAGAGGAAGGAATTCGTTTTAGAAGGGAGGGAGTACTTGAGAAATCCACACCTTGGCATGGTCAGGTAAAGAGAGGTTCAGGGTTGCTCTGAATGAACTCTTGCGCGAGTGGGGTAGAGGCCAGGATCTGCAAGGAAAACTGAATTCTTCCCTAGATGTATTTTAACATCTTGCTAAAATTAACGTGCTGTATTTGCCTGTCTGCTGCACAGCCGCCTAATCTAGTGGCAGCATTCGGAAGGGGAGTAAGGCTCTGATCTTTCACTTGTATGGCAAGTTGCATCAAGCTTCCTCGTAAACCTGCACTGCCTCTTGGAGTCCCGTGCCCCAGGCCTGCCCCCGCGCAGCCTTTGGCTCCTCCTGCAGTGGCTGCCGGTCGTCCTGTTTTCTGGGCTGGATTCTGCACTCATAGCTGTGCTGACTGGTGTTTCTTCATTGGTGTAGGCCCATTTAAAACAAACTGAAGATTTTACCTAGTCAATATTAAATGAAGATTCAAGACGCATCCCTTCGTTTTTTCAGTTTAAGTTCTCAGCATTGGCCCCACACACTAGCTTTCTGCTTCCCCACGTGCGGGACGCCCTGGTGTAGGAGAATGCTACTTGTAGCTGTGCTGTGTAAACTGTGCCAGATGCTAAATTGCATTAAACTACTTTTCTACTTTGGGAGATCGGATCTTCATATTTGTTATTTCAGTATCTTAGAAAGCCGTGGTTTTGTTCTTTATTTGAAACATAGGGAGTTTACGTAATGGAGAAGGATTTTTTCCCCATTTATTTCCTCCTGATACAATATGTCCAGCCTTTTTTTCCTGTAAGCAAACACAGTGATTGAAAAGATACCAGGTTTTCAGTAAGATAGAAATGTTCCCTATATGGAGATCCTTAGCAGTTAAAAGAAGAACTTGAAGAATTCTCCTTCAAGATAGAAACAAGCTTGAAAGTCTGTCAGTCTTCTGCTTGTCATCTCTGTCTTTCTGCTTGTTAGCTGTCCGGGGGAGACATATACAGTCGGTGTGTTTTGTTTTTCAGAAGTTGATCTGCCTCTGAAAAAAGATGGGTTCACATCAGAAAGTACAACTCTGGAAGCCTTGCTGCGTGGAGAGGGAATAGAGAAAAAACCTGACACTAAAGAGGAAGACACTATACAAGAAATCCAGGTAAAGGAGAGCCCCACGCCCTGACAGCAGGGCTGGATTTTACAATTTGTCTCTAAGCCCAGCAGATTTTATTCTGTGGCAGAACAGTGCATCTGTTGATAGTTGTGTCATTCTACTGTCAAAATGTTATCAAACCATTGTGCTACACTGTGATGCTCAAAATGAACTCCGGATCTCGCACGCTCCTCCTGTCACAAGAATCTCAGTCATTTGGCTGTGTTCTGCACGGCTCCTGTGTTGGAATTTGTTTTGCAGCACTAAGAGACGATTACATATAAAACTGACAAGCAGAGATGGGTCCCAACCATAAACTGAATTTTAGTGCCTCAGATTTAAAGCGAATTTGGACATGGATTTGAAGTTGGATTCACAGCTGCTGACTATAGACAAAAACGTGTTATTGCCTTGTCTGTTTTTTCTTATACTGAGAAGCCTTCAGGAAGTACACAAGCAAAATGAATCATTAAAAATATTCTAATGTTAATTATCTCATTATTAGTGACGCAGGTATGAGAAATATTGCCTCTTCACTCGAATTATGGCTTGAAAGTTATTTGTCAAGATTCCATTTCATCCTTTAACAATTAAAAGTAGAAACACATTTGTGGGTCTGTCACAGAAGGAATTCAGCTAATATAAAGGGTTCTTATATTAGGGCATGTCACTTTATAAAGACATATTAAATTGCTAGGAAGGTGGGCCTCTCTCGGGGGAGCAGCAGCAAATCTTTGGTGATGCTAAAACACCATTGTGCTATGAGTCTCCAGTGGTGATTTTTAGCAGGAGCCATTGGCAATGTGTCAAACTTGGTAATTTTGGCTGAGATACAAGATGATGCGTCTATACCTGAAACTAGTAAAAATTTGAGTGGGCAGCCCTATGCCAAATGAAACAGAAGAGCATGGGCATCAAATCTATATTACTTGGAACTCAGTCCTACTGGTCTGTTTGCTAGAAATTTCACACATGTCAGGGCAGAAAAATCAGGTCTCCCGTTCCCAGTTCCATAGGTAAAGGAGCACCATCAAAGAGGAAGCATCCCGTGATCATGGAGTGGGGAAAAGCTCGGCATGAGGCCCCCTCTGTGTTTCCTTCCTAATAGTGTACCTTGGTCTATTAAGCTGAGAGCCCTAAATCTCTGTTTATACCTGCTTCCAAGGTCACAAGAAGTCATGGTGCAGCATCCTTATGAGATTGACAAGTGCCTTTGGATGTTGCTGTGCGATCTGAGCTCCCAAATTATCTCCAGCAGCAGTCCAAGGAAAGAGACTTCAGAGAGGGTGGAATAGACACAAGTCTGGGCATTGGAGAGCAGGGAGGGGGTGCAAAAACATACAAAAAGTTTTCAGCTAAGCTGCCCTAGCGGTGACCTGTCATCTGGATGCTAGCTTCATCAGAACAGATGCAAAAGGCATGTCTTGCTGTTGTTTCTTATGCAAGCGCAGCTCATCTGGATTCGGTCTATAGAACAATGATTGTCGAAGCTTTTACTAGTAGCTAGCTTTCAGTGTGTACTTCAGCACCTGGCAGCTAGACTGTATCAGATCAAAATCACGATCAATGCCTTTTATCTGTATGACAAATAAGAGAATGCAAATCTCTTTTGTTCCTTTGCATGCTCTTCTGCGCCATAACTTGAATGGGCCCAGCCTCAGTGGTGGTGAGAGTGAGCAGGTGGGATAGACATAGTTGTAATTCCCACCTCAGTCCCAGCCACTTACCACCCTCTCAAACTCACAGTATCTGTCAGGAGAAGACTTGGTGCTTAGCTGCACTGAAGTACATTGGGCTGGGAAACTTTTAGAAGACAATAGGAAAAGAAAAGTTACTTTGCTAAAAAGGGTAAGGGTTGCCCCTGCTTAACAGATGCAGTCATTGGGACCTGCTGTACAGTTGGTATTTAACAGGGTTGAGGATTTTGCCCTGCAGTAAATTGGTATTGAATGTGTGTCTCCATCGTTTGCTGGAGAAGGCTTAGAATAGCCTTTTGACCATGCATCAGAAAGGCTATGCTCCTTCTGTCAAGAATTAAAGTCATTACCCTGGCAGTGCCACCAAATTCATACTTGTTACTTATTATCTCTTTCCTAAATTGATGCTGCGATTTTAAACAAAGCGGTTTGTAATATTTCTCTTAACTGCTCTTGTGTAGTATTATTGTTGTAAACTACCTCCTTCCCCTCCCACATACGGTATGGTTGCAACCTTCCCTTTTTTTTGGAGATACTTTAAGATATGAAACAATGTAAAAATATAAAGTCATATCAGTAAGTTTGCTTATTTTCTTACATGCCACTAGTCTCCTCATGTATAACATTTTCCAAGTGCTTCAGTTTCCTAAGATGAAGTCAATTAATGTATGCAATTGCATGAATTTTTAAGAAACATTTAATGTTTGTAGAACTGGAACTTGCTTAACTTTTACACCCTCTAGTATTTAGTACTCTAGTATTATGTGAAACTGTATTTCATGATGGTCTGACCTCATTAATAGTCTCCTGAGATTTAAAAATAAAAGGAGCAAAATCCAGATGAAGACTTGATCCTCTTGACCATGTTCTAAAAGTTGTTTGTACTTTTTGAAAGGGACACTGTCCAATATTAGTCTTAAAAATTTAGCTGATAAAATAAGAATAAACTTGTATAGTTGGTCTTCCAAATACAGGCTTTTTTAAAAGTGAAATTTCTGTTGTATTCTTTTCCACAAATTGAGGATTTGGTGCTTGAGGTATGTAGGAAGGAGAGAAAGCAACTGTGATTTGCTCCTGTTCTCCCTCTGCTGGCTCTCAAATAGCTGTTAACTAGAAATTATAGGGAAGGGACAAATACAGTAAGACTGAAAAACCTCCCCATCAGTTTAAAGTCACTGATTTGAATCTGCATCATGGCTGCATGTTGTAATTTAAATGAATGGTGGCATGGCAAAGATAAGTTAGTGATTCCAGATTAGTGCCTTACGAAATGGCACCGCACCATGAACGGCAGGAGTGGCTAGGGCTCATTTCTGTATTTCTAGCAGACATGCCAAGGGTTGAGGGGATTTCAACAGGAATTCTTTCCACATTAGTGTTGTGATGGTTTGTCTTGCCTTTGTCCGTGCGATGTCCGACTTGTGCATGTTTTCAGGGCGGCCAGCCTGTGTTTGATTCTATAGAGGTTACATTTCAAAAGATGAAGATAAAAGGATTGAAATTCCCTGGCCTGGGCATCTCACAGTTATGTGAGATGATGAATTATTGTTCCTATTAAATAATTAATTGAAGGAGCTATTGCTATTGTTCCTATTAACTTCAATGAGACCTGTACTTCCTCAGCATTTTCATGCAGCAAGACCCGTGCTTCCAGATTACAGAGTTGTACCTATGGTGTAAGCCCTGAAAGATGTTACTTTCTAGGTCCACTAAACATGCTGGAATATATGGGGGAATTTTCTCTATTTTTGCTAAACAAAGAAAATTCTGAGCTGCCAAGGAGAAAAACACTGATTTTTGTCTTCTTAAAGTGCATTCTCAACATTAGAGGAAAACAAAACAATTTAAGGTGCAAGAAACCAAAATAAAAAAATCATGCAAACAATTTCCCAGGCAGGGTCTGCAGTTATGCATACTAATACTTGTGTTGTCTTGGGATATCAGTGTTCAGTGATGCCACTGTTGTTTCTTAGGAACCTTTTTTTTGTAGTTGACTGGTATCAGTGGTATTTTTCAATAAGAACTCCCTGGAGAACTGAGGGTGGAAGGGAAAACAAATTTTGCTCTAGTGGAAAGAAGTAGGGGTTCTGGGATCTGATTTGGCATTATATCATTAATCAACTGTAATTTAATAACCTGCAATCTCTGTGGTAAAGAGCAGCAGTTGGTTGTATGTGTCATCTTTTCTTCTAACCATTCCTGTTTATTGTTCAACCACAGAGAGTTTTAGAAAATGATGAAAATGCCGATGAAGTGAATGAGGAAGAGGATTTGGAAGAAGATATTCCAAAACGAAAGAACAGGCCTAGAGGACGGGTAGGTGGAGACTTTACTGGAATGGAAAGGAAGGAAGCAAACCTCTGCTATGTAGTGTATATTTGTCATGTGTATTGTATATGAAAGGGTATATCCATGGATATATGATGGTGATAACACTATAGGGAATTTTCTGTCATATCGAAGATATGTGGGGAATTTTCTGTCATGGTCGAAGATTTTTTTAATATTTTTTCAGTTTATTTTTGTGAATTACCAAGAAAAAAGACTATTTTGAGAGTAAAAAGTTGGGGTAAATTTATTATAGTGTTGTATTTACAGTTGTAATGTAAACTGTAATAATTATGATGACATCCTGCTATTACGATGCTCTTAACTTTAAAACAATATTTACTAATTACAGAAAAGCAACAAATTCAATCATGACATCAAAAAAAAATTAATAAAAGTAACTTGAACTGTGTTAATACGTTTTGCAGCTTTCTCCAAGGTAGCACTTTGTGGCTGACACTGGCCCTCTTGAGCCAATGGTAAATCTTCCATTTGCTTAAAATGGGCAATATTTTATCCTTAGGGGAGTCTGTGTCCCTTCTCTTACCAAAGATGTCTTTTCACAGTTTCAGCAGGGCACCGGTTAAGTAATGAGGCCAACATTTTAAAACTCGGAATCAACATTTTCAATTGTGGCCCCTTAAGCTAGGCATCTATTATAAAAGTGAACACAATTCTCAGAAGTTTCAAGCATTTTCATCTTTCTTTGGCTCCGGCGGATGCTGCAGGGGCACAGGAGCTCTACAAGTACCTTTTGATGTGTTTGTAGGAGTCAAGCAAGAAGGGCCATATTTTAGGCCAAATGAGCAGGATATAATAGCTTTTGAATAAGAGAGAGACATGAAACCACACTGAATACTTGCAATGTACTTATGCATCAGACCCTCTCTTTTGGTTTCTTCTGTTGTTGTGTTGTTTCAGTTTTCTGCTCCTCTTTATTTTGGAGCTTAAGTCCTTTAATATAAGATCAAAGCACTTTAATAATTGGATAAGTATATATTTCACCTTCCTTATTCTCAAAATCATCTGAACCAGTTTCTTTCTTTCTTTCTTTCTTAGCCAAAGACCCCCACCTGGAAAAAAATTTTCCAGAAAAATGTAAGTTTCAGAAAATTTGTATGAACCAGTAACCAAAACCAGGAGTTAGAATCGATACATGCACACAAGCTTGACTGTAGTGATCAACTAATATTCCAGGCTAACAACTCTTTTCTAATAAGTTGCTTTCACGTAAATTGCGCATGCTGGTTAGGGTGAGTGTTAAGGGAGTGAATACCTAAAAGCAATATACTGCTCAGGAGAAGGGAATTCGCTGTATTCATATATCCCAGGCCTACACAAACAAAGTCCTGAAGTTACTGTTATGCGCAAAGTTTTACTCCCCTTTTCAGGAAACTGTTTCAAAATAACTCTATTACTTTTTCTCTGCTACTGTAG